GTGTGTAGAATTTAGTGATATCTATTGTTGAAATTGCATGTTGCAGCTGAACACCCCTCACCTCACCCATGGATTTGAATCAAGTATTGTTAAGTGGAGCTTCTATTTACCAGCAGTTTTTTTATTATAAGCTTTTAAATTTGGTCATCTAGCTTCTACATTTGACCTTCTGACTCTTCAGACAGCTAAAACCATCAACAACCCTAATGTTTTATTGTTTCTTTGACTAAGAGAAATGTAGAGCTGGATGGGTGTAACTCCTAAGTAATTCAACCTTGTGAAACCAGGAGGGTGAAAGTAGGTCGTTGTAGTGCTGAGGAGGCACCCCCTACTGGTGAGGGGCTACACCTGCAAGACAGAAAGTTAACTAAACAAACCCCTTTTTTAAATGACCTCTCTATGGGTTATATTTTCCACCTATCCTGAATATGTAAAATGCAGCTTAGACATACAGCAAAGTGTTCAAGTTTGTTGTCTATTGTTATAAAATGTTTTAAAGCTGGTGTAAAATGTTATTGGGCATTCACTCTAATTCTAAAATCACAAATGTAAAGCTTCTGCTCAGCATTTAATATGAAGTCATTATTTGGCCCGAACTCTCACTGACCGCGAGCTTCCCTCATGTAAAATTAATTTAAATGTTGCTTAAACCATATATTACTGGAAACAGTACTCATCACATTCATGTTACATAATACCAATTAATTTGCAGCATTGGTCAATTGATTCATCTCTATTAAACCTAAAGTTGTGATTTTACACTGGGTTTGGTGTGGGATAGAGGGGCATGTCCAGATTTTGCCATCCTTCATGCAAAACTATTTTACAGAATTTGGAACAATTCCTTTAGGTGAACAACTCAATTAAACACACATCGATTACCTGGCACACAAAGACTACAGTTAATTGTGTATTTTAAAAATGTTAATATACCAACCCGATGAATGATCCCTGCAGAGTGAATATACTGTAAAGAAGGAGAAGACAGATTATTGAACATAGTTATACAGTAATGTTTGTTCACAGAGCAGACAGACCCACATGCTCGAGGCCTCCTCTAAATGGCATGTTGTCCGGTTGCAGATTTTTTTTAAAAGGAGTAAAAACACATCACACACTTTTTTAGGAAGACTCAGACGTCTCGCTCAGAACAGAAGAGTGGTTAAAGCACATGTACAGATAAGAAGGGGAAAGATCTCAAGATCCAAGATGCTAAACACAAAGACAAATGACCACACTTGAGACGTTAGTCTAGTTTCCCAGCTTCAACTGTGCTTTATCTTTTATTTCCACTGAGCACTCTTGGTTATACATTGACTGGGCATTGTCCCTGAACTGAAAGTACTAGAGTCATGCTGGTAAAACATCAGCGTATACTGAGAGGTATTTTAAAAATACAGGCTCTTAACAGGTTTCCTGATAACATCCTGTTACTATGGGGGGGGGCTTATTTTGAAAATCCAGGCTCTTTACAGGTGTCCTGATAACATCCTGTTACTCAGTGTTGACATTGCGTCAGTGGTCATGTGATGTCGCCATCGGACTAAATCAGTAAATATAAAGAGGAGCCCTCTCCTCTGTGTGTGTATGTCGTTGCTATGGATACTCACAGACTTGATTGCATGCACCTGTTATCTCCCAGTTGGGAGAGAGGGGTTAAAACAAATGCTCAAAACTCAAAAACTATAAGTTCTGTGAAATAAAAACACTGTGAATCCTGAGACTTCCCCGAACGTACACATATATTTTTCATTCGTTAGAGTTAAGAAATGTGACCGTGGGAGTGAGTTAGAACATTTTTAATTGTTGTTCTCCACTCTGACCTTTTTTTTTCAAAATGAACAAGGCAGCCAATGGAGACGTGAGACCGTAAAAACATTTTTCAAAAAAATTATACATCCTAAACTATAGGTCCAAGAGATTTCATAGCTACATGTCTGCTGAGCAAACAAACTCTTTTTTTAATTTTGATCTAAAAATCATGTCTGAGGCCCATGTTTGTGGCTTTGAAGCAGGTTTAACACACAAAAAGTTGCTGAAAAACGGCAGTTTCCAGCAGTTTTTTTCACACTCGCTCTAATTGTGCACCACTAGGTGTCACTCAGGTGTCACTCATAATAAGCCTGAGCAATAATACTGCATTTCGTTTCTTTGTACTTGTGACATGTGCGATGACAATAAAGTTGAATCTAATCTAATCTAATCTAATAATATGAGTGCGATGGATTGCAGGGGCTTCGTCATATATGGACGCCTAGTGGTGCATATGTTCTCATATTTGGCACCGATAACTTTATACTTTTTTACTTTATACAGAGTTGTTGATTCAGACCATATTTAAATGATGTAATTTTAAACTTTAAACAGCGCCTAGTGGGCTGAACCTTGTTTCATATTGAGGGCGGCATGTCTTCAAGCTCGGGTTATTATATAAACTCAAATGAAACGATTTATTACAGTGATATGATTTTATTACACTCTTGTGAGGGCCACGGACACTGTTTTCTTTTTCTTTATTTAGTCATGGCGGTTGAGGTACACTCATGGGATTATGTGAGCAGGCGGTTGGGAATAGCTGACAATACATTTTGTACCGTATGTGACGACACTTTATAGCTGCTTATGTTTATCCAGTTGCGCAGGTGGGAAGGAGATTCTCAGGATCTCTCATTATTAGGACTATGACCTTTAGCACTCACTGTTTGGTTTGCAGTAATGTGTTAGTAGCGTCTGAGACCAAGGCCCTTCTTAAACTGGAGTGACTTACTGCAATAACTAAAGGCATCTAAGTTTTTTCCTTTTTTTGTTCTTTGTGTGGGGGAAGTTGTACTGGGCTGCCATTGGGTCAAACAGGGAGCTGAAATTGAAGGCCTGAAGTTGGACCATATACATATATGATATATTATAAGTTCTTCTACCAGAGGCCTGGTAGCCTAGTATCTTGGCAGTATCTTTGCTGTGGCTAGGACTGTGTTCTTCTAGACAGAGACCTCAGAGGTTCTTCCTGGATTCAATTGGAGCCACTTTCCCAGTTTGGGGGTTACAGCCCTGAGTTCTCAGATTACAACTGGCACCTCTGTAGCCCTCACTTTCCACATCTCTTCTCGCTCCTCTTTCAGCCCATCTCTAAATCCTCTCATCAATCTACACTTGATTTGCCATAATAACAAATTCGAAACGTGGATTTTAGAAATGCTTACCATTACTATGACAGTTGGCATGTAGCTCAGATGTCTCCAATTTCTTTTGGAGATGTTTCAACACCTTTGACTGATTGGACATGATTTGGAAAGGCTGTAGACTGTAGAAGTACACATCTATAAGATATGTGTAAGACCTCACAGTGTGCAGAGGATTCTTAATCAGTGAATAGGGTTCAGTGAGACTGACCATCAGGTTCTTGGTCACCTCTCTTACCTTCCCCCCCTGAGTTCTCAGTTTAAACTGGTCACAAGCTCTAATAGTAGGTCTGGTTGTTCCAAACTTTAGAATTATGGAGGCTGTTGTGCTTTTAGAAACCTCTCATGCAGCAGAACCTCTTGTATCCTTCTCCAGAGCTCTGCAGGCAGCTGCTTCCACCTCATGTCTTGTCGTTTGCTCTGATATGTATTGTGACCTGTGAGACCTTATATAGACGGTGTGCCTTTACAAATAATGTCCAGTCAGTTGAATTTACCACAGGTGGACTCCAGTCCAGTAGAAACATCTCATAAAATGACTGTGGCTGTAAGCACAACATTCAGCCAACTGAAACTGGTAACTGGACTTGATCAGTGTATGATCACTGCAGAGCCTCCCAGTCACCTCTATACATAATCTCCTGTCTTTAGTTTTATTGCACACATTATACATCTAAAATGTATTGAGAGCAAGTTTGGACATGTGTGTATGTAGATTAGATCACGTAATATCATTTTTAAGAAAATAAAAACATCAACACTTACCTTGAGTCCTCTTAGAAGCTGGTAGAACAGGTACGTGATGATACGATCAGTTAATCTTCTCCTCTTCATAATGTGGCTCAGGTCTTGGGCTACTAATGGCATTACTAGGTAACTAGAGAGAGGAAAGGTGAGAGACAAACAGAAAGTGAGAAGGAATGTAGGAATAAACAAAAATAAAAAACAAAGAGCCACAGTGACATGAAGTGGCCCTAAACCCTGTAGATAACACGAGACAGTTTCTATTGTGAGGAAATACCAAAACAAACATGAATAATCTTGCCCGCACGCATCCTTGCTTGAACAATCCATACATGCACACACACGCACACAGGGTGTCAACAGGCTTCGACAAAAAGAACATGGTTCGTGACCGTCAACTCACAAGGTTGTAAATTTTTCCAGTGTGGAATCCGGTGTGAAGACGTCAAGGAGGCAGATCACCTTAAAGACAAAAATGAAAGACAAGATATTAGCATATGATATGACCGGTAATATACAGATGTATTAGAAAACACGTCTTGGACTCTATAGGGGATCACATGCAGTGTATAATTAGTGACACTGCACATCTCCATGGTAACATCTGGTGTGAATGTCATATTTACAGCGCTGACACTGGCACTGTGTTTCTACAGCCTCTATATTTTACAGCCCTTTCAACTCTAGCAATGTTGCCTCACAGTAAGAAGGCTCTCAGTTCGAATCCCAGTTCTGTCTGAGTCTTTCTGTGTGGAGTTTGCATGTTCTCATATTTGCGTGGGTTCCGGGTAAAACAGCTTCCTCCCACAGTCTGTTTACATCCAGATTGGGCTTAGATTGGTTGGAGACTGTAAATTGACTGTAGGTGTGAACGTGACAGTGAATGGTTGTTTGTTGACCTGTGACACTCTGTCGACCTGTCCAGAGTGTACCCCACTTGTCACTTACTAGCAGGACAACCCTCAAAGGATAACCGGTATAGATAATGAATGGATGAACGCTGATATTTCTGCACAACATTACCCAGATATCCATTCTAATGGATCACTGCATCTATAATAATGATAATGTACTTCAGTCTTCTTTTCAAAAAGTTTGAACTGATGCAAACGTTCTACTATTAATTCTGAACACAAAAACACAGAGTGACAGCACAAGATATAGAAATAGGCCTTTTCTAAAATACAGCACACACACCTCTGCCAAGGCCCAACAGTCCTCTTAAATTCAATCAAGCTGCCCCAAGTTGCACACACTCATAGATATCAGTCCCCTTAATATCAATAAGATCCGTGCATTGTTTTCTGAGAAATTGGTGAAAGCCCTATCTTGCAATGTTTAGGAGAGAGAAAATAAAAATAATTAAAAAAACATGTTTTTATGTGTTCTCTCTTGGACCCACTCCCATCCTTCCACCAAGTTTCATGGAATTTTCTGCTCAGTAGTTTTTGCATAATGCTGCTGATCCTGCTTGTAATTCCTCAACGGCTTTGAGCAAAAACACCTAACCATGAGGGTTGCAACATTACACTGCTGGCTTGTCAGGGAGCACTGGAGAGTTTGTGGACCTTTTGTTGAATAGTCAACAAAGTTTGTTTACCCTCATGATTGAACTTTGGGAGAAGAAAAATGGCAGAAGATTTTGATTTTGAAATATAAAATAAAAATGTGGTGCCATTTTGCAATAGAGTCATCATATAATATGACTCATAACACATATATCACATCATAGCACCGACCAGTTGGCAAAGAAGATTCCTCTCTCATGCTTGAGCGTCACCTCCCCTCTACCTCACTCGCAGGTGGCACCTTTGGCAGGCTTTTGAATTGTATTTTAGCATGTTCATAATGTATTTCCTGTCGCTCCATTCCAAATCAGGGCCCACGTCTTGTCACATTCACGTACATTTTCATGCTGGATGTGGCGGAGCAGCCTGAGTTCCCTGTAGGCCCGTTTGGCGTGGATGAGGGACTGGAAAGGCCGGTGCAGCTTCTTGATGGCCACCTTCTCCTTGGTCTTCTGGTCAGTGGCGGAGCTGAGTGGGAATAAAACACAGTATTGAGGAGAGGACACAGCGGCCTGATCATGTTGCTCATATAATTTCTTACTCTGGGCCGCAAATACTGATTAAGCTGTTATCTGTCAGTTTATTTATTTTTAGTATTTTTTTAATTGAATATTAAATTAAGTTATTTTAAATAAATTATTTTTTTAATCACTTAGTTAATCAGACTTGATTTGTATAGCAACTTTAATACAGAGTAACACACACTCATCCATGCACAGATCATATGACTTATTGATTTCCAGTTAAGATTTTGTATTGTTGTCATTCAAAACCCTGCAGTTGCACTCAAATAGCCCCTGCTTGTGCTCAAACTGTTTGCTTGCACTCAGATTTACTGCGCTCAAGCTTCAGCTCTCCTCATCACACTCACACTGCATTTGTGCATGTGTGAAACATCTGCTCTCAGATTTCTCCACTCCCTCTACTTGACTTCTGACAGGTAATAATAAAGACGGCAGTGCATGAACCCACCTAAAGTAACCACCCGTACGGGACTCTTGAAGAAGTAAAGCTAACACACACACAACGAGGGTGGGAGAATGTCAATTCTTATCAATATATGTTGGGGAATTTTGACAGACTAGTTGCTCTAGTTGCAGAAGAAAAAAATCAGAGAGCAGACATTTTGCGCACCCAAATAAGCAGTTTGAACACGAGGACACGAGTAGATGCTCTGAAGCTAGAGTAAACATAAGCACAAGCAGGGCTATTGGAGTGCAAGCAGAGTTTTGAGTTAAAGGTCCAGTGTGTGAGATTTAGGTGAAAGGAATTTTTGGCAGAAATTGAATATAAAATAATTTTAGTGATGTTTTTACTGGTTTGTTTCATCTAAATTGTATGAATTGTTGTTTTCTTTGCCAAAGAATGAGACGTTTATATTTAAAAACTTTATATTTACATTAAGGGGTCCTCTCTGTGGAGGCCGCCATGTTTTTTTACTGTGGTCCAAACTGGACAAACTAAAACCTTTTGAGTTTTCATGACAACTGAAGTTCACCACAGGTTCTCTCTCATGTTGGTAAGGGGAGGGTGACATGAGGAGTATTCAGCTGCAATGTGCAACTTCACCTCTAGATGTCACTAAATTCTACACACTGAACCTTTAAAGAATAAGTCCTGCTCTCAAACTGAAAAAACAAACTGTTGAATAAAGATGGGGGGGAGATATAAGAGCAATACATGACTATGTTTAAAAAAATTGAATTAAGTAAAGAGTG